CTCCTCCTCCTCCTCCTCCTCCTCCTCCTCCTCCTCCTCCTCCTCCTCCTCCTCCTCCTCCTCCTTCTTCTCCTCCTCCTCCTCCGTTTTGAGGCAGGGTTTCTCTGTGTAGTCCTGGCTGCCCTAGAAATCACTCTGCAGACCAGGCTGGCCTTGAACTCACAGAGATCCCCTTTGCCTCTGCCTCCCAAGTGCTGAGATTGAGGGTATGTGCCCCCACACCCAGCTGACACTTTGTTTTAATGACTCCATTTTCCTTAGTCTTTTGGCCTGCGACAGTTTCTTAGGCTTTCCCTTTCAGAGTTGGGGTGGGGTGTGGCAGACATGTGTTTTATAAAAGTCTCCATTGTGTGATGTGCTTCTCATGAGTCTTGGGAGGGAGCATCTTGGAGGTGACGTGCCTTCTTTGTCAGTCCAGTGAGACTGACTTGGTAGTTTAGGGAAAGAGTGGCACCAAGCAACTTGGTCAGGGTCATGCGTGCTAGGTTTTCCACTCCAAAATCTCTCACCCCGTATTCTGCTGCTCGGGACTCACTAGTCCAGCCAGGCTGCCTCTGTGTCTGTCTGATGGCTGCTAATCCAGTGTATGGGAAGCTTCAGAGGTGCAGACCAGTGGCAGCCGTTGGCTGGCATGCGATAGTAGGTGTTCCTTCAGGCATGAACCTGGCTTCTCAGGCCACCACAGACCCCTCTGCCCTCTTTACCACTTTACATTTTGAGAAAGAATCTCACTATTTAGTCCTGGCTGTGTTGGAACTGAACTATGTAGACCAGACTGGCGTCAGACTCTCTGAGTGCCGCCTGCCTCTGCCTCTCAAGTGCTGGGATTAAAGGTGTGTGCCACTAAACCCGATGTTCTCTTCATCCCTTTGGAGCTTACCTGGCCCTTGAAGGTTTGTTTGTTTCTTTGGTTTGGGTTTTTAAGACAGGATTTCTCTGTGTAGCTTTGGAGCCTGGCCTAGAACTCACTCTATAGACCAGGCTAGCCTCAAACACACAGCGATCTTCCTGCCTCTGTCTTCCAAGTGCTGGGATTAAAGATGTGTGCCACCACTGCCTGGCTAGGTGCTTTAGTTTGATACCTCTGCCCCTAGAGCACCTTCCTCCACCTTGTGTCATGTGACAAATGGCCTGGTGATGTAGAATTTTCCATCCTACGAGATCTTCAGGTTCCATAACAGCATGGCTTAACTTTGGCCAGAAAGTTACATTTAAAAACAAACAATATTTCTAAACTGAGTATGATGGTACACAAGTTCCGGGACAGTCAGGGCTACACAGAGAAATCTTGTCTTGAAAAAAAAATAATAAAAAGTAAGAAATAAAACAGTGCTTCTAGCTGAGGATGTCTCTCAGTGGTAAGAGTGCTTAGCTGGAACTCTTGAGCCATCCTCCTGACCTCGTCCTGCAGTGCCAAGCACCTGGAAACAAATGAAGGCAGAAATCTAAAAAGAATGTTTCTAGCTGGGCTTGATGGCTGACACACACTTGTGATTTCCAGCGGGGATGCTGAGGCAGGAGAAGCAAGAGCTATAGGTTACCCTGGGGTATACAATAAGACTTGGTCTCCAAAAAACAAAAGAAAGAGAAAATAAAAGCGTATCCACTTTTAGAAAGAGACATAGTTTACACACACACACACACACACACACACACACACACACACACACACACACACACGGGATGGAATGAAAGACAGTCTTCAAGAGAAACACTTGATTTGCCCCTAGGTCATTTCCCACGTGAGTTCTCTGGTAATTTCCTAAGCTCAGGGCACGTTTCCTCTCAGCCGCTGAGTTTATATTGACTTGACACAAGCCTGGGTAATCTTGGAAGGAGAAACCGCAATTAGGAAAATACCCCCACTAGACCGGCCTGTGGGCTCATTGTGACTGTGCTATACCTGAGCTGGTAGGCTCTGGGCACCCCTTCGTGGCCTCTGCATCAGCTTCTCTTCAGGTTCCTGCCTTCGGTTAATTCCTTCCCGCCCTGACTTCCCTCAGTGATGGAGTGTGATCTGAGAGTTGTAAGATGAAAGGAACCCTTTCCTTCCCAGTTGCGGATTGTCCTGGTGTTTTATCACAGCCACACCATGGAAACAGCACAACCTCCCAGCCTCTCCAGGCAAGTGGTTTCTCAGAAGGTGCAGTTCCCTCTCAGCCCCTCCTTTATGGACACAGATTGTTCTGGGAGTCACAGGAGTGGGAAAATTCAACCAGGAAGGGGATCTGACTTAGTTGGCACAGGTCAGAGGTGGGGAGGGTGTAAGTGGGGGACATAGAGAGGGCCTTCCTTCGACGCCAATTACCGGGGCCACAGGGAGTGGGACCGCATAAACCTTTGCCCTGCTGACTACCTGGCAGAAGCTGAGCTTGCTGTGTGTGCTCACGAATGTGCCCACTTGTCATGACAGTGGCTACATTCTCGGCAAGACACCAAGGCCATTGTTGGAGGATGAGACTGACTAATTGAGCCCTTTGTTGTTTTCCAGGGGGGGCTGTTGGGGGCCTGTTGGGGGCCTGGATGACGAGTGGACAGTATAAGCCAGTTCCTCAGATCTTAATGGAGCTGCCCCCCGCCGAACAGCAGAAACTTGTTAACGAAGCCGCGGCCATCATCAGAAACTTGGACTGGACAGATGCTATACAGCTCACTGCTCTGGTCATGAGCAACCAGGCCATACAGCAGAAGCTCTTGGCCATGCTAGCCACCTATGTCACCAAGGAGCTGCAGGCTGAGATCCGCTATGATGACTAGATCACTCTTCCTGGGGGATGGGCTTGCATTTGGATGATTCCACGACTCCCAGAAGGTGACCTGGGAATGGGGGGGTGCCTGGCAGGTGCGTTGAGAAACCTGTACGCCAACCGTATTGACTATAAGCCGGAGTACATCCGGTTGGACTGTCCCCTGCTGGAGTACATCCTGTTGGACCATCCTTCGCTGGAGAGGCTTCAGCTGTGCATTGTGGGCTGTGTGTGCTATGGGAAGGTCCAGGCTGTTGGCATCCACAGACAGCTTAGAAGTCTTCCTGATCCTGTGGGTCTAAAAGGAGTTCTCAGGTTGGCTGGCCAACTGTGCCGGGTGCTCCTCATCCTGTGAAAGCACCTCTAGGTTACCTGTGACAGGATCGGAGGGGTCCTGGGGGGGTTCAGAGCCAGCTCTTGACAGGATGTGCTTACTTGTTGAGTGTTCCCCTTCTTTGCCCAGGGACTTCCCAGTGGTCTCACGATGACAGTGGTCCCTACTTTGAGCGAAGCCACAAACGCCAGGCAGGTCCCCATGCCCCAGGCTCTCTTGAGTAACTTTGGTTAAACTTCTAAAGTCTTTTGCCTTAATTATGGAAAATCATGGCACTTATTTATCTTTTACTTTTTTTTTTCGAGACAGGGTTTCTCTGTAGCTTTGGAGCCTGTGCTGGAACTAGCTCTTGTAGCCCAGGCTGGCCTTGAACTCACAGAGATCCGCCTGCCTCTGCCTCCCGAGTGCTGGGGTTAAAGGTGTGCGCCACCACCGTCTAGATCTTATTTATCCTTTACTTTTATTGTCAACTCTAGACCCTTTTAGTCTCTACACTTGTAGTCTAAGTTAATTTCACGCTATTTTTTTTTTTTTTCTTACTATGGTGCCTGGACTGGCCTTGAGTTCCTGGGACTGTAGGCTGTGGCACTGTACCCAGCTTTACCTCAGAGACTGTTCTCCTCGCCACTGATTCTAAGTTTGTTCTTCCAGGTTCTCTATCCCAGCTCAGTTTCCTCCCCTCACTGGCTGCAATTTACAATTCACTTGTGTGGAAAGACAAAATTAACAATGAATAGAGTTCAAAGATCCTAACTGAGCTGGGTGCTGTGGTGCACACCCACAGTCCCAAGTAAGGGAGAGGTCAAAGCAGGAGCATCCTTGAGCCCAGGATTCAAGACCAACCTGGACAACATGGAGGAGCTGGGAGATAGAAGGTGGGGACATAGCTCCTTACTTAGCCTTTATTTACAGTCACAGAATCAAGACGCAGTGAGTGTTCTGATGTGCTTGACAGGAGACGAAGGGCAAACACAAACAACACCAGCACTGAGGTTAACCCCTGGGCAGCACCTTATCTCCCTGGTTAAAACCGGGGATTTGGACATCCTCTCCTTGATTTCCCCAAGTGACAACAGCTCAAACCCGACAAGCAGCTTGTTTGGTGTTCGTTTTTCTTGTGATGCTGTGGATGGATCACAGGGCCTGCATATGCTAGGTAAATACCACCCCTGAGCCCTGCTCTCCCTTGGTAGATCCAAGGCCAGCGCTGTATGGCTAAGCCTGCTCCAAGCCCTTGAGTGGCTCAGTTTCGGTTTGGCCAGTCCTAGTGCTGGAGCTCAATGGATGACATCATATATATTTGATTAAATACTTGATACTTCTTTTTATCCCCTGTTAGAGATGGGCGCCAGGGAGCGTAGGAGGTATGTGTCTTGGTCGCCCTTCCTATCTCCAGCTTGCTCCTGCTAGGCACCATGGCTTTTCTGTGGGGGACACTCAATAAATATTCATCTTTAACACTATGTGATTTATGTCTTTCTGGATTCTTGTTTGTTTGTTTATGTTTTGTCTGCATTTATGTAAGCACAGTATGTATGTGTGTGATTCCCACAGAGGCCAGAAGGGGGCACTGGACCTCCTAGAGCTGGAGTTACTGACAGTGTGAACTGTCATGTGGGAGCTGGGAACCGAACCCAGGCCCTCTGCAAGATCATTGATGGCTAAACCAGCTCCCTACCTCTAGGTGTTGTTTTTTTTTTTTTTTTTCAAAACAGGGTTTCTCTATGTGGTTCTGCTTGGTTTCAAACTCATGATCCTCCTGCCCCAGCCTTTTGAGCCATGAGATTACGGGCAGGCATCACCAAGCTAAGATCTATAATATTTTGTTGCTGTTGAAGTCTTTACATTCTCATTGTTTCTGTTTTATTATTTTGGGATAGGATCCCAGGTAGCCCAGGCTGGCCCCCAGTTCTCTGTAATGCGAAAGATGGCCTTGAACTCTTGACCCTCCTGCCTCCACCACCCACCAAGTGTTGGGATCATAGAGGCGTGCGTCGCTATGCCCGGCTTCAGCAAACGGTTTTGGGAGTCGTTGTTTTGAAATCACTTCCTATGGAACTCCTCCAGGAAAAAGACAAATGACAGAGGAAGCCTAGGATCCGATTTCAAGCTTCTTGAAACAAGTGGGGTCACCAACCATGGAAGCCAGACTTTGACCTGGTGATTCTAGAACCCAGAGCCCTCACTCAAACACCAAATGGGAGCTCCTCAGTTTTCGCGAACAAGTTTGGGGAATGTTTTCCACACGGACTATTTTTAGTAAGATGTATGCTGTCTCTGAAGTGATGGTGGTGAGGCCCACCCATGGACAACCAGGATTTCTATCCCCAGGTCTTCCCTGATGCTATCTTCTCTTTGCTTTCAAGACTACACCCCGAATGTCATCAAATTACTAATAAATTACTTTCCTCTGAAAAAGTCATTTTCTGTGTATTTTGTGTAAGCCACTTCTGAGATTTGAAGCCTTAACCTAAAAGGGAAGGTTGTTTGAGTTGTGGTTTTACAGGATGCATAAAAAGCTGCCCAGCCCAGCTCCCGACCACTGTCGCAAGCCCAGCTTCAACTGTGTTGTTGCATGACATGCTTAGCCTCCTCCAGCCGTCTCTGCCCAAGTCCCGAGCAAGGGTAGTTAGTGCTGGGACCCAGATTCTGTTTATGGCTGCAGCCTGGGATTTCAGCAGCCAGAGGCGGGTGCTGGATTGAGGGCCAGCTGGAGCCTCTGAGTGGCAGAGAGCTCCCTGTGTTCAGGAAGCCTTCTGTGGACTTCTCCCCAAAAGCATAGGGGGTGGGGATGAAGGGGGCGGAGCCTTCGCATCAGAGTACCTCAGATGGCATTTGTCAGATGCTCTGTGACACCCGGAGCTCCTGAAGTCAGAGAAAGGGGATGGGGCAGGGCTGGGAGCAGGTGCTGTCTTTGGAGACTATGGTTCTTCTGGTTGAGCTGACACTTCCTGTTCCTCCTGCAAATTTCAGTAAGTGACCCTCTAGGCCTCTGGAAGTAGAAGTCTAAAGTCGAGACCACACCCCCAGTTGCTATGGCTTCACTGGGCTCTAAAGTTGCCCTCTTAGTGGAGCAGTGAGGACATCGGGTGACAGATGCATGACAATGAGGCCACAGTTCAGATTTTTGTCCAGTGCTTCAGGTTAGGGGATACTTTCCTTTTTACTTTGTTTCGTTAGTTTGAGTCAGGGTCTCACTGTCTCTCTATATAGTCCAGGCTGCGGGACGCAGCAATCCTCCCGCCTCAGCCTCCCAAGTGCGTGTGCCCCATTTTGAATGGTATGTCCAGTTCTGCAACAGCATACACTCATGCATTTAGGAACGTCAGGGTTGTAATAGAATTCCATCGGTTAGGCAGTTGGACCCAGCCTTCCATGCTCCTGCATGAGGTCCCACTGTGTGCCAGGCTTGGGGAACCAGGAGGGGAGGCCTGGGGATTTGTGTTGAGGGAGCAGCCCTCAAGTGAGGGCACCTTGACAGCCAGTCCTGCTGTGACTCAGTGACATTGGGCCCAGCTGGGCACCCACCTTCCACCGTCCTTTTTTTCCAGGAGTGGTAAGTGTTTTCCTGGATTTCCCTGGTGGTGGCTTCTCCATTCCTGTTCTGTAGCCCTGCATCTTTTTTTGTTAAACTTTATTTTGAATAGCTAATAGCTGACCAGCATAAAACTACTAGTGAGCCAGAGGACGCTAACTGTGACAGAAAGCTGCCTGGACTGACTCAGAAAGGCAGCCACTGTTAGCAGTTTTGGCTGTGCTCAGCTCTGCTGGGTTTGCCTTGATTTGGTTTACTTTGTAGTTATTTTTGAGACAGGGCCTCATCGTGTAGTTAGGGGCTGTAATCAAACTCATGATCCTCCTGCCTCAGCCACCTAAATACTAAGATCACAGGCATGTACCGCCATGCCCATCTTTAACTCTGTATTTTGAAACAGTTCTTAGAGACCACTCATTTCCTTTTATTTGTCAATGATTTTTTTGCTGACAACTTAGAAAAATCTAGAAAAGTGTATTACTTCTGCCTCAGTGGCATGCACCACTAACTTCATATTCCTTTTAAAAATGTATATATTCATTTGTACATGCATGGGTGTTTTGCCTACATGTATGATTGCATGCTACAGGCATGCCCGATGTCGACGTATGCCAGAAGAGGGCATCAGATTTCCTGGTACTTGAATATGGACAGATGTGAACCACCAGATGGGTGCCGGAAACTGAAGCTGGGTCCTTTGAAAGAGCACCGAGGGCTCTCACTACTGAGCCATTTCTCCCCAATTTCATATTTTTAAGGTAATGTCAAACTCCTTGGAAACATTGGCAGTGGTTATGCGGTATCCTTTATATCATAGCATGGTATAGTTCTTATCTTAGTAGGCAAGTTCTTATCTTCTTCCATCAGAGCGCTGCAGTGAATATGCTTATGTTACTATCTCTGTAATTTGCATTTTGATAGTCTTTGGATTATGACAGATTTTTCCAGAGCGAAATGACTGGATTTCAAAGTATGTGTTGTTCAATCAAAATTTCACATTAATTTATCCTCCCAGGGTTTGGCGTGCAGGCAGGTCTTGTTGCATCCTCTCCGGCAAACCGACTATCTGTTTAATCTGGGTCCAGGCCTCCCTGGGGAGAAGGGGCTCCCTGCAGGGCTGTGTCACCACTGGTAGCTGGTGGCAGCAGGTGGCAGGGCACACGTGGGGGTGTGACACCCACCTGCTCCCGCTGGGGAGGAGGCAAAGGGGAGCAAGCCGAGGCAGGGGCCCGGTAATTATAAAAAGCGGCCATCTGCTCGGAGGCTGGTTATTAACCTGCGTCGGGTGCTGACGTGACAGCGCCAGAGAGATTTTATTCACAGGCAGATGGTGTATTTTCAGCTAGACTTGACTTTGATTCTGTGTTTGGAGATGCAGCCAGAGTCTGGAAGGAAGCGCGCGGGGAGCGATGCAGGGCGAAGGCACTATGGCTAAGGATGCAGGACAACGGTCCTACAGTTAAAGATGCAGGGCAGAGGTCCTATGGCCAAGGATGCAGGACCAAGACCCCATGGCCAGAAGAGGAGGCAGGCAGGCAGGCTTAGAGCTGGCTGCTACTACTTAGCGGAGATTATGAGGCGCCATCTAGCGCTGAGCCGCACAACTTCTGCAGCTCAGGTCGCGGCGCCCTCTCGTGGTCACCGTTCAAAACCCAGGATGTCACCACAGTGGAGTCTGGTTTATGAGCTGGGGTGCAGAGGACTTGAGGACTTTCTGAGGTTTTAATAAGCCTAGAGCAGAACACTGTCTGGGTCTCCTGCAAGCGATTTTTTTTCTGCATACAAAACTGGATGTTTCTCTATTCTAAGCAATCAACATATGGCGATTAAAAAAAATGTCAGGATTCATCTTATCCTGGGTGTGTCTGGTGTCTCCAGTTTGCTGGGAGAAGATAAGTGGCTTCATTAGCTAGAAGAGACTTCTGAGGCCTGCATGATAAATGGAGGCTCAGAAGGCTGGGTTCTGGCTTGGCTAGGTGAATCACGGGCTGGAGGTTAGCTTTGGCTACTCCCCCCCTTATTATTTTGGATTTAAATTTTTTTAAAAATATTTATTTATTTATTTATTGTGTATACAATATTCTGTCTGTGTGTATGCCTGCAGGCCAGCAGAGGGCACCAGACACCATTACAGATGATTGTGAGCCACCATGTGGTTGCTGGGAATTGAACTCAGGACCTTTGGAAGAGCAGGCAGTGCTCTTAACCACTGAGCCATCTCTCCAGCCCCTAAATTTTTTTTTTACTATTTTCTAAGACTTCACTTTCTATGTGCACGAGTGTTTTCCTTACACATGTGTCTGTGCCTTGTTCATTCTGGAACTGGAGTTTTGGGTGTTACGTTATGTGTGTCCTGGTAATTGAACTGAGGTCCTCTGCAAAAACAAGTGCTTTTAACTGCTGAGCCCTCTCTCCAGCCTCCTTAATTTTTACTTAAAAGAGATAAAATATTTAGTTTTGTTGGGTGTGGTGACACATGCCTTGAATCTCACTCAGCACTCTGGAAGCAGAGGCAGGCAGATCTCTGAATGAGGCTGGCTTAGTTTACATAGCAAGTTCCAGGCAAACCAGGGATATATGATATGACACTGTTTGAGCTGCCATTGGCGTGCTGAGAATTGAACCTGGGTCTTCTGGAAGAGCAGCCAGTGCTCTTTAACCTCAGCACCACTTCTCCAGCCCTGTGATTGACTGAGACAGGGTCTCATATAACCCTGTGCTGTGTGTGGGACAACGGTCTTATAGTCTGTAAAGTTTTGTTAAGTTGTACTGGTTTAATAAAATGCTGGTTGGCCAGTAGCCAGGCAGGAAGTAGAGGTGGGGTGATGAGAATAGGAGAATTCTGGGAAGAGGAAAGACTCAGTCTGCAGTCGACACAGAGGAAGCAAGATGAGAACACTTGGCTGATAAAAGGTACCAAGCCACGTGACTAACATAGACAAGAATTATGGGCTAATTTAAAATGTAAGAATTAGTTAATAAGAAGCCTGAGCTAGCCGGGCGGTGATGGTGCACACCCTTAATCCCAGCACTTGGGACACAGAGGCAGGAGCATCTCTGTGAGTTCGAGGCCAGCCTGGTCTACCAAAGCTAGTTCCAGGACAGGCACCAAAGCTACACAGAGAAACCCTGTCTCAAAAACAAAAACAAAACAAAACAAAACAAAAAACAAAAACAAAAGTCTGAGCTAATGGGTCAACCAGTTTATAATTAATGTAGGCCTCTGTGTGTTTCTTTGGGACAGAATGACTGTGGGACCAGGTGGGACAGAAACCTCTGTCAACAACCATGGTTGGCTTGGAACTTACTATACAATTCAAGATGGCCTTGAACTCACAGAAATCCTCCTGCTTCTGCCTCCTATATTCTGGGATTAACAGTGTGGACCACCATACCCAGCATAACTGCATTGTTTTTTTTTTAAAAAAAAGTAAGAATACTGAGCCACTGAGATGGCTCAGTGCCTAAAGGTGCTTGCTGCTAAGCTTAGTGACCTGAGTTTTGTACCTACAACTCACATGGTTGAAGAACTGGCTCCTGCAAATTGTCCTCTGACCTCTCCACACACTGTGATACATGAGTGCACGCACACCACACACACACACACACACACAATTTTCAAAACATAAAAATCAGGGACTCTGACCTCAGCAGGGAGACAGATGCTCACAACATGGTGTGGGTATCAGAGGCCATGTGGTAGCAGTGGGAGAAGTAGCTCTGAGGATGGGATTTCACAATAAAAACCTACCACAAGTGCTGCGGTTTCCAGGCAGGTGTTAGGAAAGAGTGTGGAGAGCAGTATATATTGTTTCGATATAAATTTACTGCTCAGGTGAGAGATCCTGATCCCGGGGAGTCTGTTAGCTAGGAACTCACAGACCTTG